TCTTAAAAAAAAAAAAAAAAAAAACCAAAAACTAGAAGTAATATATGCTTATGTAGAATTATCTCCAGATAATACACAAGAAACTGGTAATAGTGAAAAATGGGATATGTGACTAAATGTACTTGGTACTTTATACCATGTACCTTGAGATAAGAATGAAGTAGTTACCTCTGTATTTTTGAAGACTATAGCTATGTAGAGCCTGGTCTGAAGATTCCCAAAAGCTCCCTGGGGGTTTCTGAGGCTAGCCAGGTTTGGTTTAATTTGTCTATGAGTTGGAAATTCCGAGAAACTTGAGATCTTTATCTGCCTTTCTTCACCCCACCCCTCTTTCAATGGGCAGATGCTAGTGGTGTTTAAATCAGCTCCCATCCTAAAGCGGGCCCTCAAGGTCAAACAGGCCATGCTACAACTTTATGTCCTAAAGCTGCTAAAGATACAGACCAAGTACTTGGGGCGCCAGTGGAGGAAAAGCAACATGAAAACCATGTCAGCCATTTACCAGAAAGTACGCCACCGCATGAATGATGACTGGGCATACGGGAATGGTGAGTATTCTCAGCGCTCTTGACTTCTAGGAGATTCCGGGGCTTTAAACAAAACTAAACAAACATTTTATTCATTTCTACTTTTGACATTAGTTGTTACATATTTTGGATGAGAAAGTATGTAATCAGAGATCAGGTGCATACACTGAACATTAACATGTTTAAATGCTCCAGATTCTAATATGTAGCCTGTCCTGTGTAAACTAAAAAATCTATTTTATAAAACAAGCCTTCACCTAATAATCTTAAAATAAGCTCACATGTAGATTTATCATGTGCTGGGGGAACAATTCCAGAGAATCGGGAAAGTCTTCAGTAATTGGCCCATCCTGATTCTCCAGTTGTACCCCTCTGGTGCTTTCCCAGAATGTGGTAGCTCATGCCTGTAATCCCTAGCAGTCTGGGAGGCTAAGATGAGGGGAATTGCTTGAACTCAGGAGTTCAAGACCAGCCTGAGCAAGAAGAGCAAGACCCTGTCTCTACTAAAAATAGAAAAATTAAATTATAACTGGGCATTGTGGCAGGCACCTGTAGTCCCAGCTATTTGGGAGGCTGAGGCGAGAGGATTGCTTAAGCCCAAGACTTTGAGGTTGCTGTTAGCTGTGATGCCACAGCACTGTGCTCAGGGCGACAGAGTAAGACTGTTTCAAACAAAAAAAGAAAGAAAGAGAGAGAGACTGAAAGGCAAGAAAGAAAGAAAAGAAAGGGAAACTGTAATTCCTTGGGAAAGCTCCACAAAAAGAATTTGACTACCCTTTTTGAAGACATAATGCTTATAACTAGTAATGAATATAAGTAGTAAGAAAGTAAAATGAAATACAGTAAAAGGAGTCTACCACCTTCAGGACCCTCATTTCCGTTCTCAGAGGTAGTTACCAGTGTCTAGTCCACCCTTCCAAAGGTAATTTCTTCACATATAAGCTTATATATGGGCACATGTCTATTTTTTAAAACTTTAAGTGTCAGCATGCTATATACTTACTTTGTAAATTGCTCTTTACAAAAAAAGGGAATCCAGCTGGGTACCATGACTCACACCAGTAGTCCCAGCACTTTGGAAAGCTAAGGCAGGAGAATCACTTGAGGCTGGGAGGTGAGGCCCAGCCTAGGCAACATAGCAAGATCCCATCTCTACAAAAAAATTTAAAAAATAAAAAAATTAGCCAGGCACGGTTCATGTACCTGTAGTCCCAGCTACTTAGGAGGCTGAGATGGGAGGATTGCTTGAGCCTAGGAG